TTGTCCCTCATTACAGATTGGGGTACACGCAATAAACTTGAATTTAACTCGAGTAAGATTAAAGCGATATATTTTGGACCACGTATTTGTAACCATGTGCCACTTAGAATTTATTTTAATGGCATCTGTGTACCTTTTGTGGACACGATGAAATGCCTGGGCTTAATAATTGATAGTCATCTTACATTTTGACAACCATATAACTTCTGTTTCTGCTAAAGTTAACAACATGCTACGTTCCATAGACTACTCATAGACTGGAATCAGCTGATTTTAGTAATATGGCGGAGGCAAACAAAAAAAATTTTACGAAAAATCAACAAAAGAAAATGTAAAATGAACCACGGTAGATTTAAAAGAGGGACAAATATATAAATATATATTTCCATCTCTCTTCACCTTACACTTAATTTTTTTCAAATATAAAAAACAAATTGCATTACAGTCAAACCCATTTATAACTTCTTTTGCTCTTTACAAACTCATCTTAATTACCGGAATTTTGATAACTATTTTGATACAAAAACATATTTTATAAAGAATTCTTGGTTAAAACGAATTACTATTTAGTCCCATGAATAATATTTTATGCATTTATCCTTTTTTATATCGAACTTCAAAAAATATGCGTTGAAATCAAATAAACGGGTTTTACTGTACATGCAAGTCAAAAAATTTGTTTGTGGTGTTGATAGTGTATTGAAAAGTGTTTTATAATGAAAGAACATTAAGGAATAATTAAAAAACAAATCCAGTACACTTTTAATTAGAATCTAAGCAAATATTTAATAAAATAATTGTTTTCTTTTTAATACCTTATTTTTTTGCAATTCTTCTTCACATACAATTTCTTCGATGTTTACATTTTTTGCTATTTTTTTTCAAACGAGCGATGAAAACAATCATACAGCTCATCTCACACACTCATCGATTTTTTAATACATTTTATTTTTTCTTTTGCTCTAAAATTTTACCTAATGGCGAAACTCAAAAATGGTAAAAAAAATCTAAACAAAACCATACGGTTCGAATTTACTTTTTTGACAGCTGTCAATGGTTTCTTATCTGGTTATCTGTGCTACGTTCCCTATATAATTGCTTTTTGCCGGTGAGAACAAAATGTAATTTGGCTCATTCTCTACTTATGACACATTTCATTTACTGTTTGGACATTTACAGCGGTTGTACTTCATCAAATTTACGTCGAGTTAAATTGATTTTAAATCGAATAATAAGATATATATTTAGCCTGAAGATATCTGATCATACCTCTGACTATATCAAAAAGTTTTTGAAATGTTCCTTTCTGGATTATATTAAAATAAGAACTTTAAACTCACTTTATCATATAATTAAATTTCACTGTTATTTATATTTTCATGGTCTATTCGTAATCCTAATCTAATTATACCTAAAATCAACAACTCTACGTTTGAAAGATATTTTTTAGTTAGATCATGTAGGCTTTACCATGCTCTTCCCATTAGTTTGAGAACCTTTGATTTTTCTGTGGCAAATTTTAAGTACAAGCTCTTTAAAATTTTTAATTGATTGCTTTTAACACATAAGTTGCACAAGACCCACATACTTAACATTGAAAAATATTTAATTAAATGAGTTTCGACTAGCATATATTTTTGAAGGATTGTTATTATGGGCTTTTTTAAATCACTGGATTTTTTTATTTATTTTATTTCAAGAAAAAAACTATCTTTTGGCTGAAATTCAGTTTTGGTCATTATTATCTGAAAATACACTGTATAAGCTAATATAAGGTCAAAGAAAAATTAATTTTAGTGTAAAAATGGCGGTTCTGCAGCTAAAAGAAGTAAATCTAATTTGGATTTATTAAAACCAAAAAAAAAATAGTTGGATTTAGCTAATTTCAATATGGCAATGCCTTTTATTCATAGAACAAAACCAAAATAATTTTAAAATAAATTAATTTGTTTTATTTTGCTATTCACCAATTGATGGCAAATATTTTTTAAATGTATAAAAATAGGAAAATAAACAAAATTCATGTAACCAAAATATTTCACACATGATATTTCAGTGCAAATACTAATTTTTGCCACAAATTGTTACAAATTTTATGGAAAATTTATAATTTTAATATTAATTTTGAAATAACTCCATCTGTTGGCTGCTGCTGATATTATGATTTGAAATTTGTTTAGCCTCGATTAAAACCTTTTGCCTTATCCACCTGGATAAGGCAAAAGGGAGAACTAAAATTTGGATTTAATAAATCCAATTGTTTAAAAAATGCTACTAATAGCAATCCAATCCAATTGGATTTAATAAATCCAATTTGGATTTACTTAGCTGCAGAACCGCCATTTTTGCACTAAAATTAATTTTTCTTGTTGCAGTGCTCCTTAATTATACCCCCTTGACACTACTCCTATGGGGATTTGAAAAAAAAATTTTGCGTGGGGGTACCTACAATGTGCCTTTTTGAGGGGGTACAATATCTGCTGCCCAGCAGTCCTGACTGCCTTGCTCGTGGGCGTACCCTAATAATTTCATGTTGCTTTGTTAGTAAACTAAGGTTAGTAGTTTTTATTTTGTTTAAGTTAGTTTATTAGTTTCTAACTACAGAGATGTAATTTGGCTCATTGGCCTATTTGATTAGGGTTCCACCAGAAGAGTATGCGAGTGGTCAGCTCGCAGTGGAAACACCAACCTGGGAAGGGCCTAGAGTCATGTGGTGGAGTTAAGCCACAACCTTTCCCAAACTCAAATAGCTGAAAGAAAGAAGAAAAGAAACAAATTAGTATTAGAAATCTTGTGATAATGAAACGATACAGTTTTACCAGTATTCCTGAAACGAAAAAAAAACTTAATATCTAAAAATTACAATAATTTCAATAAATACTTACCTCAGTTTACATGTTGTCTGCTTCTTTGTTTTAATTAATTAATGCAATTTGTGTCAAGTTCTCACATGTATTGAATTCGCCTCGAACATCTGTAGTAAAAAGGGTTGCCAGATGTGAGATTATGAGAGTGGTCAGACACAGTGTGAGAGAAATGTGTACGTAGGATTTTATGAATGAATATGAATGTTGATAGTTCGTTAAGTTCAAATAAAGCTATTCAATGTTTAGATACAAATTGAGGAAGAATTAGAAAAGGATGGTTGTGTTATGAAATGTCAGAATGTGATGACTATAGGATTTAAAGGAGCATGAATATAATAGGCCCAATTGGAATAGAAATTCTTGGAACATATAGAGTATAAATATAAGTTTCTGCTCGGCCATCTTAAAGAGATAGAAGAAAATAAGCAGCCCAGACGGTATACATATATATTTTTTCAAATTTAAACAAAATAATATAAACAAGAAAGTGCAATTTAAATTGAACAAAAATACAAAAAAAATATAAGAACGAAGATTTAAAGTTATCTATTTGAAATAAACTTATCGAAGAATATAAGGTAATATAGAGTGTCTTAGCCTAATTAATATTAGTGTGCTGATTAAGTTTATTACTTATAGCAGTTTCGATTCTGTGATAGGAAACTAAGGAAATCCCTGCAATACTTAATCAACATAAGGCAATTAAACTTCTTAGTCCCCCAGAACTGGAGCAGGGCCAGAACAAAATACGGGGACTACAAAATTTTTTTTGGGAGAAGGCACAAAGCTCAACAACTGCCCAACAAATTATATTTGAATAAATTATTACATCATCAACGGAAAAACCATTCGGAACAGGGAAGTGCTTACTGTTAAGAAAAACAACAGAATAGTCTTTTATCTCTAATTAGTTTGATATCCCTAATATATAAGTCTTATTTAACATCTCTAGTTTAAGTTTGTTAGTTTTAGTTATATTTTTTTTATTTTGTTTTTTTTTTTTTGTGTTAATACTATTTATTAGGCATCCTTGATCTTCGATAAATACCTTACGTTTCGTACATAACATTTGTTAAACATCTCCCTGATAGTTTTCTCATCGAACCGAGTAGTGAAATTTTGAGCCAGGCTTAAAGTAGCCAGAAAAAAAATCGTTTAAGTGAGCTCTCTTAGGCTGATAGTAGTGTTGTATAAATGAGTGAATTCCCAAACCAATTGTTGGGGCATAATTAGATGAGGAAACCAATATACATATAAAGGGAATTTATTTGTTTTATAACTTGTAATTTTGTGTCCGTTTTAGTTTGGTATTTGTTGAGGCAGGGAAATATTATTGAGGAATCAGAGTTGCCATTTATTTTTGTAATAGATATAAAAGCTAAATTTGTTTTTTTTTATAGAGTTTTGTATAATTTGTTCAGGTTTTATATCCTAAGCAATAGTTATAATAAATATGTTATGAATTAAGTGAATTAGAAAAAAGAGAAAAATGCTGGAATAATCTCATTTAACAGAGTGGTTTATTAAAGGTAAGTGGTGTGGTAAAGGATTTTGAAGGGATCCCCGTAAATGTTATAGGTATGGGAGATTATGGAAGGGATAGGGCAGAATGGAGTGAACATCTAACTCCACTTCATAGGTGTTTCATTTGATATTAGTGAACAGATTCATAGAACATTTATTGTGACAGTTCTTTGGGCCATGACGAAGGGAGGTTCTCACACCGAGAGTAAGAATCATGTACGTGAGCTGGTCGGCACCTAATTCGTTATGGTGCTTTTGGGGACTCGTAACAATATGGCGCCCAAACGGAAAGCAATATCCTTAAATAGTAAGAATAGTGTGTAGCGACATCAAAACACATAGCAATAGACCAATAGTTTAAAATCACAATAGCCAATGAATATTACCATAAATCTCGAAGGAAATTAATTTCAATAATTTTAAGTAACCATTTTGGAGAATTGGAAAATCCAAAAGTTTGTTGTACTTAAAGCTACGTTCACAATGGCAGAGTACTCCACACTCCAGCAAATTGTATTTCTTTCTTTTTCATACTAATAGAATTTCAAATTTGTCTGTCTTGTTCTAATCCACTCTAGAGTCAAACAATTTCTACTCCAGAGTGTAGATTATTTTCACTCTAGAGTTAACATAAAAATGTTATAATTAACATGACAAATTTTAATTATAAACTGACAAATTTTTTCAAATATATTTCAATAATATCGAAAATGAACGCAGAAGACACGTTTAAATTTTTAGAAATTGTGCAAGGAGAAGATATCCTTTGGAATATTAAATCCAATGGATACAAAAATGTTAAAGAACGATCAAAATTGTGGAGCGAAATCGGGTCCAAATTTAATCTTTCTGGTGAGATTAGACATACATACATATTTTTTCATAAATAAACTCATATTTTATATACGTATTTATTTAGGGGACGAAGCATACAAATATTTTAGGAAACTACGGGAGAAATGTAGACGAGAAACAAATAAAGATAAATTACAAGAACGAAGTGCATCTTCTCAAACAAAACCATCGAACTGGATTTTTAAAAAGCATTTAGAGTTTTTAAGCGATGCTTTTAAGTCAAGAAGGTATTTAAACTTTTCTACATTCGAAATTTTCATACGTTCGTTTGTACACACATATATGTACATATCTTTCTTAAATATAGTGTTAATAGTTCCTTAGAATGGGACAACAAAGAATTTAACATTGAATACTTAGAAGATTGTGTTCCAGAGATTTTTGATTTAACGCAAAACTCATCGGATGCCTCTAGTACATCGAAATCAATTGAAATGCCAAAATTAATAATAAAATCGCCGCCAAAAAAGAAATTGACGCAGGAGAAACATTTTGAAGAAATCATAAATACGAACACTCAGCAACTTATTCAAGCATTAAATGCAAATGAAGATACAACCCCATTTGATGGAGTAATTGAATTTATTAAAGAAACTCTCAAACAACAAAGTGAAAGCACCCGAATCCTGCTAGAAAAAGAACTAATGGAAATAACTCTTAAATATAGATATAACACATAATTTATTTCAGATTTATCATAAAACTTCATATAAAAACGTTAATATACAATATATACATACGTATAATGTATTACAAAATTATTATTGTTTCTATTTTATAATGGAAGTATTAGCTGCATTGTAACTAACTAACTAACTAACTAACTAACTAACTAACTAACTAACTAACTAACTAACTAACTAACTAACTACTAACTAACTAACTAACTAACTAACTAACTAACTACTAACTAACTAACTAACTAACTAACTACTAACTAACTAACTAACTAACTAACTAACTAACTAACTAACTAACTACTAACTAACTAACTAACTAACTAACTAACTAACTAACTAACTAACTAACTAACTAACTAACTAACTAACTAACTAACTAACTAACTAACTAACTAACTAACTAACTAACTAACTAACTAACTAACTAACTAACTAACTAACTAACTAACTAACTAACTAACTACTAACTAACTAACTAACTAACTAACTAACTAACTAACTAACTAACTAACTAACTAACTAACTAACTAACTAACTAACTAACTAACTAACTAACTAACTAACTAACTAACTAACTAACTAACTAACTAACTAACTAACTAACTAACTAACTAACTAACTAACTAACTAACTAACTAACTAACTAACTAACTAACTAACTAACTAACTAACTAACTAACTAACTAACTAACTAACTAACTAACTAACTAACTAACTAACTAACTAACTAACTAACTAACTAACTAACTAACTAACTAACTAACTAACTAACTAACTAACTAACTAACTAACTAACTAACTAACTAACTAACTAACTAACTAACTAACTAACTAATTTTGAAAAGAGTTAATATAACTGCACAGTTCATCTCTTAAATTTAGAGCATAACTTGTTGAGTTATTAAAAGTGTATGACACAGAACAAGAACGCCAACCTCCGATGCTTAATGATCCCCCTGTTGCCATTTCCTCTTTTTGAAATTCATTACTGTTTTTGGAGCTTCTTATAAAATTATGTAGAACCACGGTACTTTTTATAATGGATTTTGCCAATTCTGGTGAGGCCGAAATCACTGTATGAAATATTCTAAATTTGGCTACCATTATTCCAAAAGTATTCTCAATGTAGCGGCGAGATGATGAAAGCCGATTGTTAAAAATTTCTTTTTCTTTTGGTAGCAATCGTCCGCCATAAGGACGCATTAGGTGGGGCTTTAGAGGAAATGCTTCATCACCAACTAAATAAAATGGAAATTTTAATGATGAGTTTGGAAGATTTGAGTCATCTGGCAAATCCAGCTCATTATTGATTAGGGCTTGACCAAATTCAGTTTGACGTAAAATTCCACCTTATAATAACAATAATTTTAACACAGAATCCACTTAGAGGTACATATGTACATACATACCATCAGACTCAGAACCATATGCTCCTACATTAACATACGTGTATTTATAATCTGCATCACATACAGCTAATAAGACCAAAGAAAATGTTTTTTTATAATTGTAGTATAAAGAACCACTATGAGCAGGCGCTGTTATAGTGCAATGCTTGCCGTCTATGGCTCCAAAGCAATTAGGCATTCCAGTTTTTATCCAAAATAATTCGGCCATTTTTTTTATGTTTTGCTTTGTTGGTTTTGGAATATATTTATCGTTTAAGCTGTTCCATATGGCATCGGTCGTTTCCGTTATTATATAGTGAATTGTAGATTTTGCAACACGAAACTCGAATGATAAACTGGAGTAACTCATCCCGGTTGCTAAATATCTAAAATCTATTATTGTAAACAACTAATAATACAATATTTACTAAATTTACCTTAAAGTAATTAACAGTCTATTTTTTTCACAAATTGGTTTTCGAAGTGAATTTTTTGATAACGATGGTCCAACTAAAAACAATAAATCTTCAAACTGGGATTTTGTCATTCGTGAAAAGTTGAAAAATGTCTCATGGTCATTCAATAACATCTCTTTGATTAAATTTGATCCAAAGCCTAATTCTTCCCTTTTTTTAAAAATGTCCCTTACCCAAACAATACGTTTCTTCTGCTTTTTAGATTTCCTTTCATTCTCTAATACAGCATGCAAAAGTGATATATAATGGCAAACTATAATCTTGTTTTTATTCATCATGCACGAAAAGATACTATAAAATATAAAAACCATTCTTCATTTAATTCTTTTAAAAGTTGAAACCACGATTACTTACAATTGCCACTTATGTTTAAATATAATTAAAAGTATTCTTTCTAATAAGGAAAAAACAAAAATGTTTCTAAATATTTATTATTTTAAATATTTTGTCTAAATTTATACTTTTGTCAAATGTTTGACAATTTATTTTGAAAATTTTCCACTCTGTATTTTGAACAGTTAACATTTTTTTGCTGGAGTGCAGAGTGGAGTACTCCAGCATTGTGAACGTAGCTTAAAGGTTGAGAATGGTTCCTGCGGCATATAAGTAAATTCTTGATTTTCAGAGTGGTAAATAAAGTTCATAATAGTTGCACAAATTAAAGCCAACTTTATTCGTACAAATTACCACTAAAATTCTTCTTAAGAAAAGTTATTTTTGTTTTAGTTTGTCACCACAATGAACCTAATCTGATAGCCCCTCAGGATAAATATCCTGAAGTGAAGTACCAGAATAATTTCTTTGTGATCCTTTGAAAGTCTATACATTAAGACTTGTCAATGTTCAAACTTTAAAGTTCATAGTTTTTTTTTTTTAATGACTGGGAACACCTAAGTGAAGTAGATCTCGAAAGAGATATATATTAATGAGATATACACACCACTACCAACAATAACCACTCGCAAATTAAAATTCTGAAAGTAAAGAAATATTGAATCTGAAACGATTTAGGAAATTTAAATAATTCTCTAAATTACTGGAAATTGTTTTGATTATTGTCATTAGGTATATACACATATATTTTTTTTTAATTATAACGTGTAGTTTATTTTGTTTAGATTTTTTTTCTTTGTTAGGAAATTTTTTAATTTTAGTAAATTAAGTAGTTTAAAAATTATTTTTTTGTTGCAAATTGCGTTAATTTCGGTTAGATATTTGTATACATACATTTCGTTATTGTTTTTTTAGTAATACTGTACAATATATATTTATATGTTTTTGGCGTTAGTTAATAGTCTACTTTTGTTTTGTATGCTGATAAGTTCAAGGTATGAATTTTAACACTAGAAATCAAACCAGAAGATACATTAGACAGAGTGAAATAGAATCGAGTACATCCATTAGAATACAAAATAATAGAAAACGGAATAGAAATCCAGATTTTGATTTGAATAGATCCACCATCCATACCGAACCTAAACAAAGAAAAACATATATAATGAATACATCAGGTAATCCGAATTCCAATGGGGGTACTGTATCGCAGATCACTGACCTTTCAGGAACAATAATAGCAGGAGCCCCGGGGGAGGCAGTAGTTTCAAATCCGGCAATTAATGTTGAGGGCAATGATGAGGGGTTGGCACCAGGTATTAGAAACTTGGTCGTAGATGAAGCCATGATGGTACAAAGATCTCTAGAGGATAAAGTCCGGAAGATGGTGCAGGACGAGATGGTAGACATAAAAAAAAACATCGGTGATTTAGCCAAGGCTGTTGAGAATCTCTCCCGTGTGGTTGCCTCAAATCAAACGGGTAGTACTCCCAATAATTTTCCCATCAACAATAACCATATTCGCAATGTAGTAAACGGTCATAGTGCGGATGTCTACAATAACAATAGTAATTTGAATACAAACGTCAATGCAGAAAACACAAATATGCGCATACCTGATCGTTATTCATATCGAACACCCAATCCTTCTGGTTTTAATTTCCAATTCTCTGCTAATCAGCCTGCAAATTGTCCATCGAGAAAGGAGAATAATGCCGGACCTGGAAATCAAGACATATTTGATTTCAGACAGATTAGAATTGATAAATTAGGTATTGTTTTTGATAACAAATCTATTAGTATTGATGATTTTATATTTAGATTGGAACATTTGAGAGCCCATTATAATATCCCCGAGAGAGAAGTTGTTCGTGATTTTCATTTATTAGTTTCAGATTCGGTAAAGGATTGGTATTGGGCTTTCATAGGAATGCATGGAATGACAGAATGGCCAGTTCTTCGCTTAGCCTTATTATCACAATATCAAAAACCAAGGTCAAATTTTGAAGTTATGAGAGATTTAGTGGAAAGAAAACAGGATAATTCTGAAACGATAGATGATTATTTTCATGTAATGAATAAGCTGAGGTCAAAATTGACACAGCCTATACCAGAATATGATATGATAAAAATTTTGAAACGAAACCTTAATCTAAATGTAGCGAGAATAGTTTACCCCATATCTGTGTCCTCAGTAGAGCAGTTGCGCATTGAGTGCAACGAAGCGGAAAGAAATTTCCCGAGAAAAGAATTTAGAAACTCTATGCCAACTACACGAACGTCTAGGCAAGTAAATGAACTAAATCGTCCTGAAATAGTTGACTTAGAGGCGTTGCACTTTGGGCAACAACAACAACAAAAGCAACCGGTAATTTGCTGGAATTGCAAAGCTTCTGGTCATGTATTCATGGAATGTCCAGTTGAGCAACGAGCTCTATTTTGTTATAAATGCTGAAAACCTAATGTTACTACGCCAAAATGCCCATTTTGTCAGCAAAAAAACTTGATGAACGGCGTGGGAACAACAGGGGACCTTCGTCACAGGGAGAACCCTGTAGCACCCAGAAACTAAGTGAATCTAGGAAAAAAGGCAACATAGTAGCACAAAATATTATCAATGCGAACGATAGTAAATACATACCACAAATGCGACATTATCTTCCTTTAGAAATTAGACTACAAAATTATGACAGAGTTAAGGCGAGAATTTTTGGACCGAAAATGGTGTCGGAACGAATATTGAAACTTCGCCGGAAATTTAAAGAGCGTAAACGAATCAGAAGATTTGTAGTAGATTCTGTAAAAAGAGCTGATAGAAATATGAATGATCCCAGAGTTTTTGTAGAAGTTAGGATAAAAGGTTCAATGAAGAAAGGATTATTGGATTCAGGAGCCTCCGTTAGTATTTTAGGAAAAGGTTGTAGAGAGTTTGTAGAGGAAAACGAAATCCACATATACCCTATGTTGACCAATGTGAAAACTGCCAGCGGTCAACAACATAGTATAATAGGAAAAGTAAAAATATTCATAACGTACAAAGAGCAACAACACGAAATGTTATTGTATCTTTGTCCGGAATTGGAACAAACTTTATACTTAGGAATAGATTTTTGGAGAGCATTTGGATTGGCTCCTGAGGTTGTAGGAATAGATGAGCTAGATATTAGTAAATTACAGGAAGACTTTAGTGATTCCAAGAGGGAATATAGGATGAAACCACATGATCTGACAGTTGAGCAACAAGCAAATTTAGATAAAGTAGTAAAACTTTTCGATACTTTTGAGGAAAAGGGACTGGGACTTACATCAATGGAAGAGCATAGTATAAAATTAGTGGAAGGCGCTGTTCCAGTAAAGGATCGCTACTATCCTATATCCCCAGCTGTCCAAGAGATCACTTACGCAGAAATTGATAATATGTTGAGACTTAATGTAATTGAATTGAGCGATAGTCCGTGGAGTAATAGAACAACAGTAGTGAGAAAACCCGGAAAAAATCGTTTATGTTTAGATGCTAGGAAGTTAAATAAACTCACAATAAAGGACGCCTACCCATTACAAAATATAGACGGAATCTTGAGTAGGATAGACGAGACCTATTTTATAAGCAGCGTGGATCTCAAGTATGCCTTCTGGCAAATTAAACTCGATGATCAAAGCAAGCAATATACCGCATTTACCGTAGCTGGCCGCCCATTATATCAATTCAGAGTAATGCCATTCGGCTTATGTAATGCGGCTCAAAGACTGTGCAGGTTAATGGACAAGGTGATACCCCAGAGTTTAAAAGACAACGTATTCATATACTTGGACGATTTGTTGGTTATATCAAGTACTTTTGAGGAACATTTAAGATTGTTATCTGAGGTCGCGAATTGTCTCAAGGAAGCTAATCTCACTATTGGACTTAATAAATCTCAATTTTGTTTTCGGGAGCTTAAATATCTAGGTTTTATCGTAGGTGGTGGTATGTTAAAAACTGACCCCGGAAAGGTGGAAGCGATCAAAAACATTAAATTACCCAAGACTACAAGAGAGGTCAGAAGTTTTCTAGGTACCGCAGGGTGGTATAGGCGGTTTATACGCGACTTTGCTACTATTTCAGCCCCTTTGACTGACACATTAAAAAAATCTAAGAAATTCGTTATGACTCCAGAGGCGGTCGAGGCTTTTGAAAAACTAAAAAGAGCGCTGACTTCGGCTCCGGTGCTGAGGCATCCAAACTTTTCGAAAAGATTTTATGTCCAATGTGACGCCTCTGATTATGGTGTAGGTGCAGTATTATTTCAGTTAAACGAAAAAGAAGAAGAGCATCCTATTGCATTTTACTCTCAGAAGCTGAATTCTTGTCAAAAGAATTACAGCGTTACAGAGAAAGAGTGTTTGGCAGCAGTGTTAGCTATTCGAAAATTCAGACCAT